CATCCCCATTCCTTGTTCACAGATCTGTCAGAACCATGTCATTAGTTCAGTGTCTTTTACATTCTTTTTCTTTCCTCTGCTTTTTTTACTCCATTTTTTCTATATTCTCACCATCTTCTCTTTCTGCAGTTTGTTGCTCCAGAAAAAGCTCCATAAATTTGAATTGGCCTGTTTGGCTAATCTGTGTCCTGAGACAGCTGAGGAGGCCAAGGCTTTGATTCCCAGGTGAGAATTTATGTCCCAGGTTTTATGATTTATGGGTTCTAAGATGCAGGAATAAGGGGGAAACTGAGCTGACCTATTGTTTCCCCTTTGTATCCAGTGTTTCACAGCCACAGTGGGCTGGCCTACAAGGTACAATTCTACATGACGCCAATCAGATAACTGTGTTGATGCCTGGCCCTGCCCATTCCTGAGTGTGGTACCCTTTTAATGTCATGTCCTAAAACTGATCAGTGAAAAGGTAGAGGGAGGAAGGTATTTGATTTGCATAATTCAGTGTGGAGGCACATGAGATCTATAACATGGGGCTTCAGAGTTGTCTGTGTATTATAACACAGGAGGAGGTGGAGATTTTGGATAAATGGTGCAATGCCAGACGGTACCAAAAATGTCTGAGACACTGGTGTAGAAACATGAGGGAATTCTGGATATTAAAAATGAAAGCACAGAGAAGAGGCTTGTTTCTATCATTATTGTTCTTATCTTGCAGCTTAGAGGGCCGGTTTGAAGATGAGGAGCTACAGCAGATTCTTGATGACATTCAGACCAAACGAAGCTTCCAGTATTAGGGCTAATTACCAGCCCTTATTATGAAAGGAAAGATCAGAGAATTTCAGATGTTTCTGTGCACACCAGACCAATCTAGCTAGCTCCAGGACAGAGCAAAGAGAGTTCTTGATACACAGTACTTCAGCCTTGGGTCCCACACAGACATGTTTAAACTGGGGACCACTCTTTGACTTGCTGAATATTGTAAACTTGACAAAGATTCATTTGTGGTGAGAGCCATGGAATCTTGGAAACTCCTGTCTAGGTGGTTTCAGTACCTGTTTCCCCCAACTTCCTGTCCCTGCCATGGGAATCTTTAAAGTGTTTTTGGTTACAGGGCCTAGAATAAGAGTAGGTGTGATTCTTCTTTCTTATGAACTCCAGTTACCTAAGGTGGAGAAATTTTGTGCCCATTGGTTGTTGAAAATCCTAGTAGTTTGTAGAATCAGGGCTAAAAAGATTCTGAGTGTCTTTTGAAATGTTTGTTCAAGATAATGTTTTTTTTCCCCTTCAATAGTGCATCATTGTTCAGTTTGAATTAAAATGTGATGTTTCTTATTATGTTCCTATAATTTGTACATATTATCTGATTCACTCCAACTTTAATTATTTAAGTCCTATTGAGAAACACTTTGACCTGGAAGGAGGGAATAGTCTCTGGGGAGGGGATGATCCAAACATCAGTTGTGATTATTACTACAAATGAATATAAATGAGCAGAATTGTATACACATATTTTGGGAGGGAGAGAATATGACACTCTTATTAGGCTATGATTGGAAACTTGACATCCATATCCATAGTGTTGAAAGATCATGCTGCTTTATAATAGCTGCCTGAGTTACCTTGAGTGACACCTATTGACTCAGCAGCAGTAACATAACTTATTCCTTTTAATATCATTATGTCTCCTGGAATCTAATAAACCAAACATACCTTTCTGATTAACCACAGTAACTTTAATTGGTCAGAATTATAAGAAAAGGTTACACAGGAGTGAGGTCCTGTATTTTATTAGCTACATCCACCTCGTTTCAATCTTAGATTCAATCTCCAGCTGCAGCTGTCATCAAACAAATCTCTTATACTCTGCCTCACAGGAGATTTCTGTGACTGCCTCAATGAAATGAAAATACTGATCTTTAAAAAATAAATTGAAGTGTCTTAATAAGAACTTCATATCAGAACCCTTACCTCCTAGCTTCATTACTTTTGGTGGTAAGGAAGCACTAGCTAGATTATTTGGCTTCTTTGATTTGGTTTCTTTTAAATTTGTCTGATTAGGTGTGATAGTTGTCTCTTGCTGATATTTAAAAATAAGATGGGAGGCTTTAGAGAATAAATCTAACTGCTTTAGTGAGCTGGACCTGATCCCACATTGCTTACATCATCCTCTGCTAATAGACTGATAACTACCAAACATTGAAATCCATAATAAATTACAGCTACCACTTTTCAAAGAAGATCAAAAGCAATAAAACAGACAAGATGGTGGGAAGAAGGCCTCTTAGACCAATAAAACCTCTGTGAACTGCTATTGTATGATAGAACTGAACTACTGAACGTGTAATACAGGGGTTGCTAATACTGTATAGTAAGGGTGTTCTCAAAATATGAAAATTATTCAGGACTATTTTATTGTAGAAGTTTTGTGACCCCTTGAATTAGCTACATGAAAAGATAAATTCATTGCACCTTGGAAAGAATAATTTGAATTACTCAAATATATTACTAGTTCCTAAATAATCTGTAACTGCTCGAAAAAAAGACTGGGCCACTTATGTGGACAGCTCATTAAAAATGTCTGTTTGGTGTAGAGTTGATGATCAAGAAGGGGAAAAATATAGCATAGTGAAACCTCAGAGTTACAAACAGCTTGGGAATGGAAGTTGTTCGTAACTCTGAACAAAATGTTATGGTTGTTCTTTCAAAAGTTTACAACTGAACATTGACTTAATACAGCTTTAAAATTTTACTATGCAGAAGGAAAATGCTACTTTCCCTTTATTTTTAGTAGTTTTCATTTAGCACATTGCTATTGTCCTTTTTTTGTTTCTGCTGCTGCCTGATTTCCAAATGAGGTGTGTGCTTGACTGGTCTGTTCGTAACTTTGAGGTTCTACTGTACTTAAAATATGCCATTATAGAAATCAATGTAGTGCCCTCATCTGGAATACTGTTTTGTTCATCTTTTCTCAAAAAGGATATAGGAGAAATAGAGTGGGTTTAGAGACCAGGAACAACAATGACCAGAGGCATGGGAAGCCTCCCATTTGTAGAAATATTAAACAAAACTGTCCCATATTATTTTCAAAGAGGGGACACAAGGGACATGCTGGAGGTATACAAAATAATGTTATATAAAAGGTAAATAGTGCTCTTCTTTGTTTACCATTTATCATAATACAAGAACAAAGGGGAAGTCCAGTGAAACTGCAAGGTAGTATGTTTTAAAATTATAAAATGAAATAGCTTTTTATATACAAGCTGTAGAGCTTGTTTCCACAGGATCCTGTAGCCAGTCAGGAGCTTAGTAACGTATCTAAAATAAGTATACATCTATATGAATAGTCTTACACATTTCTGGACAGTATGAGGCACCAGATACTGGACTAGAGATGGACTTCTGATTTGGTAATTTCTGTGTAATATTTTTACCTTCCAGGGTTGCTCACTGAGCTGCTATTATACACTGCTGGCAATCTGTTTGGCAGATAAGTTTTTCTGCATTTATCAGGAGTTAAAAAATTGCTCAATACAGTTTAACTTAAACAACCAAACAAACCATGCAGTAGGGAAAGTAAAAATAGAAACAAAAAGGTTAAGATGCCAAAAATCCCAGGATGTGAAATGGGACTCCTTGCTGGTCCTCAAACATATATATATATACCGCTTCCCATAGCTGCTTACATCTTAAAATTAATACTTTAAAAATCCCCTTATTTTAAACTATTGCATTCTTAGGGCTTGTCTACACTGGCAATTAACAGCACTGCAACTTTCTTGCTCAGGGGTGTGAAAAAACACCCGCCCCGAAACATTCCCCCCGCCCGAGTGCAGCAACTTGCAGCGCTGTATAGCACCAGTGTAAACAGTGCCCCAGCGCTGGGAGCTATGCCCCTCATGGAGGTGGTTTTTTTAGAGCACTGGGAGACCTCCCAGCGCTGTGCCGTGACAACACAAGGCATGTTAAAGCGATGCCATGGCAGCACTTTAGCATTGCCACTGTAGACTAGCCCTTAGCTATTACTATGCCTTAGATCTTAAAACTGACAATTCTAAAACTCCAGTTTATATTTTATCTTGGCTTTTTTTACTTTTAGCATCAGCCTTGGCTGGGACAATGGAAATCAATGTGAAGTCAAGTTCCTTCATTATGATCAGTTTCATTCCCTGAGGGCTGAAATGTTTGGGTTGCATGCACTGGTGAATGGGGGGAGAGGGATGTTAATTTAGGGTTTATGTCCCATGGCTGTGGAAGTCTCTTGATATGATCTTAAGCTGCTGGTTACTACCCTTCCCCAGCCTTGTCAGTGCTCTCCTAGCTGCTCAGTATTATTTTCAGATTCAGGTAGTTTCCCCCCTCCTCACATCAGTCAGCGAGCACCAGCAGGTATTGGGAGGGGAGAGGAGTTCCTTTCTTCTGAGCCAGGACTCCCAAGTGCTGGAACAGATTTCAATGGTTCTCAAACTGTGGATTGTGACCCTCAAAGTGAGTGGCAACCCCATTTTAAAGAGGTCACCAGGGCTTCCTTAGACTTGCTCGCTGCCTGAGGGCTTCAGCCCTGAGGGGGGGAAGGGGGCTCACCTTACATGCCTCCTGCTTGGGGCTGAAGCCCTAAGGCTTTGGCTCTAACTCGTACCTCCCACCTGGGGTGACGGGGTTGGGGCACGCTCAGGCTTCAGTCCCCCCTCCTGGGGTCCTATAGTAATTTTTGTTGTCAGAAGGGGGTCCCAGTGCAATGAAGTTTAAGAACCCCTGGATTAGAGTGTAGTCCACGCTACTTCTGTCGACGCATGCGCGTCCCGCTTGCCGTTCTGCCCAGGTCGGGTCACTCCTGTATCAACTGCGCGCACCCGCATCATGCACAGTCGGGCCTCCCTTGCGCTTGCGCATACGGGGTCCTGGCCGCCGCTGCGTCCCTATCCTCGGCCAGGTCCTCCCCGGCGCCTTGGAGCGTACTGACGTAGAGCGCGTGCACCGCCCCGGTCGTTGGAGGGGAAAAGATGGCGGGCGGGCGCAGTGGGGGCTCGTGAGGCAGCGGCTTCCGGGCCAGGGGGAGTGTGGCGAGCGGCGCGGCAGTGGGGTCCGGTGGCGGGGATAAGAAAACAGTCGGACGGTGAGTGGAGCTAAGTGACGGGCCGCCTGGGGTGGTGCAGTGCAGCCGGGCGGTGTGGCTCCTCCGCCATTTTCAGGCCGTGAGGCCGGGGAGAAGAAGGGGGCCTAGTGCCTGGGTCGGGGGAGGGAGGAGCTCCTGAGGTGGGGAACGAGAGCGCGGAGCCTGGAGAGGTCAGTGGGGGCTTGGGGCCCTTAGGCTACGGGAACCCCAGGGCCTGGAGCGGGCTCCTGGAGAGCTAGCGGGGGTGGGCTGAAAGTAGCACGAGAGCTCGTGGGGGAAGGAGGGCCCTGGACAGGAGTTTCTGCTTCACCTTGCTTTTCCTCCTGTTGCCTTTGGTTTAGGAGACCCCCATGCCTGTTCAGTGTTATCTGTGCTGTTTGGTCTTGGCCATATGGCATAAATAGAACCATGTACGGCTGGGGCTTGTTATACGTTTATTTTGCAGAGTACATTAGACTTAATTACAATATGATGAATCCTCCGTGGTTTTACAGACTCAAACTTATTCTTTGCATAGCAAAACTACTTGACCCAGTAAAATCAGAACTCACCATTTTAGATAGAGAAAAAACCTTAAGTTTTGTTTCTTCAGGAATTAGATGGTATTTCTCTTTTGATATGTAATTTACGGCTTGATGTGACTCCTTCTTGCTATGATTAAGTAGCCCTACATTCCCTGTAAGTGACACTACTCTGTATTTTCACTCCATGCATCTGAAGAAGTGGGGTTTTTAACCCACGAAAGCTTATGCCCAATAAATCCGTTAGTCTTTAAGGTGCCACTCGACTCCTTGTTGTACTCTGTATTTGTATACCATCTCTTATCTGACTAGCTTAAACTGTATTACAAAGTCTAATGTAGGTAAGTAGTCCTACACTCTACTTTTCTGTATTTAACCAAACCTTGAATTAATTTCCTAATCAAAAGTATGATCCTGAAGGGTATTTTTCTAACAATGGGGAGAGCTGAAGCAGTCCAGGGTCTACCATTCCTGCTTTTCAAAGCTGAAGTTTTGATGCTGGAAAATACTTTCTGACTAAATACTAATAAACTCTTTGAGGGGAGAGATTCAAGAGCAGTTTTTTTCATCTCCAATCCTACTAGATTGTATTTCTTTATTGGACAGATTACATTAAAAATTTAAGAGTATTTTAACCCCTGTGACAAATAATTTCTGAATCCCTGCCATATGAACACTTAGCCTTATTAATCTGTGGACCACATGTCATCTTTAAGTGAGTTTACTGATCAACAACTTGTTAGATACTGTCAAACAATTTAAACACACGCTTGTATGAGACCGAGTCACAACTAACTAAAGTTAATTCTTGCTATTTATCATTTCATAACATTCTTTATTAAAAAAACAGTTGCAAGATTAAACCTGCATTTTAGTAATTTATCTTGTATTCAAATATATAAACTTTTGTTGATTTTCTAATAAATACCACTGTGAACTAATGGTATACTGAGTGTTAATTTGAGTTCTCTCACTTACAGTGGTTTGGTTTAGCGATCTTTTGTATATCTGGTAAATTTTCCAAACTCTGTTTTTGAATGCTGGAAGCTAGAATAAATTGGACAATAGGGTACTTACAATGTATCTTTAAAGTTTTAATTATGTGGGTCAATCACTTTTTAGGGCAGTAATTTAAAATTTATACTTGCAGGTTATAAGATAGTTTTTTTTTTTTTTTTTACAAAGCTCAGTAATGTTAGAAATATTGAATATGTTCATGAAGTTTACAAAAATCAGGTTTTGTTGAGATCTAAAATCTCCCTGGCAGTTTTTTGAGTCCAGATACTGAAGCATTGTGCTAATACATGAAAACTGGCAAGTGAAACCTGCTAGTTTATTTTCATTGTCCAAGGTTAGTGCAAAAAGTAAACATCAGCAATGAAATTGGCCTTTAACAATATTCAGTTTTAATCTGATTGGTAGAGCAGGTAAGATTTTAACTTTTAGCAAAGTTTTAACATGGCTTTACTTCAAGTTTTTCCCCTCTTCCCTACCCTAACGAGTGCTTAAGGTTGGATCACAAACCAAATTGGTTTATTTTACTGTCCTGAACACTTTTTATGTACTTTATATATTTTTGATATGTATTCACTATATCTGAAGTCACCTAGTGTTGGCAAGGACTCAGAGTAGCATGAAATCCAACTTTATGATATTCTTACTCCTGGGCTTATAAAATTATTCAAAATTTAATTGAATCCCAATTCTGGTTCAACCTACATTCCGTTCTATGTAAATACAAAGTGGTACTACAGAAGACTCATTTTATGCTTTAAAACTAACAATACAAATAGTGGTCAGTTAACTACAACTTCAACGCTTAGCCGAACAATCGTTCGCCATTTGGTCTGTTCCTGTGCAGCTGCAAGGGTTTGACAGCCTGAGAGTCCAACATCAGAACAGACTTGATGAACCCATGTAATAGGGGGTGTGCTTCTGGGCTGCCTCCACCCCTTGGTTGGAATTTTATCCCGGCTGTTACAAGCAGGTCAGTTTACCTGCTTTCCCTATATTGTCTCTGTGTAGCAAACTGCTTAAATAGGAGCGGTATGGGTCTGAAGGAAGTCTACGCATCTACATTGGAAACTGACTACAAATACACTCTGGCCTATATAGGAAATTATATAGATCTAGTGACTCTCGGTGTACGTCTACACTACTGATGCTACAGCACTGCAGATGAGCTGCTATAGCACCATAGCATAGACACTTGCTACAGCAACAGAAGGGGTTTTTCTGTTGCTGTAGTTAATCCACCCCCTTGAGAGGCGGTAGCTAGGTTGACCGATTAATTCTTCTGTTGACTTTGTGGTGTCTATACCTGTGCTCGGGACAGCTCAACTATGTCTCTCTGGTGTGAGAATTTTTCACACTACTGAATGACATAGCTAGATCAACCTAAGTTTTGGATATAGACAGGCCTTACACTCAGACTGGGATTTTCAAAGGAACCTAAGGGAGCAGGGTGCCCACCTTTGCCTAACTCTTATAGGCTCCTTTGAAAAGCCCAGCCAGAATACTTACAATATTTTAATTAAAGGCTATATATCTTGGTGTTGGAAAAAACACGTCACTTAAAAATAAAACCAAATTTTACTGTTTCAGACGCTTGTCCATTAAGATGTCTTGTAATCTGCCAAGTGGGGAAAATAAGGGTAACAGTAATAATTTAAATAAAACAAAAGAAATCTCAACTTAGTATGTTAATGTTGAGAAACCTCTTAAATATACTTTGTTTAAAGAATTTCTCAAACTTTATCAATGCGAATTCAAGGACTGAATGTTCCCATGGAATCTTATTGAGATCACAAAGGGAAGATACAGGGGACACTTTGGGAACATTTCAGCAATAGTTCAATTCTAAGGAGTTTTGTAGTTGGGCAGGTAGTTCTACCACAGTTTCTTTAAATAGCGTGTGGACAAGAGGTTTTTAGATGTGACTAAACTATGCTGTTACTACAAAGAGAAATGTTATCTCTGAAATGATTTCAAGGGCAGTACACACAGGACTTGAGTTAAATAATTTTATAAAAAATATTTTATTCACAGATATATAAAATAGTAGTAGTTTTCTTGTTCTTTCCACCCAAAAATAAAATTTTCTTCCCACTCTTGTCTGTTTCTGGTTTTGTACATACTGTAACAAGCCACCTCTACTTATATTTTCCCAATACAGAAGGAGAATTTCCTTTTCTTATCTTCTTCCATTTCATTTTCTAATTCAGCTATAAATCTTCCATACAGAACTGTTGTTACTAAATCTGAACATATTTTTTCATTCAATTTGTTTTGGAGAAGTGTGCTCCAAAATGTAATAATACATTAGTATGCAGTGCAGTTGTAGCCTTGTTGGGCCCAGGATATTAGAGAGACAAGGTGGGTGAGAAAATAAATTTTATTTTACCAACTTTTGTCACAGCAAAGTGCAAAGTGGAACTATAACCCACTAGCCCCCTCTTTTTGTCCTATGACTGCAAAGGCGTTAATGGGCCACTCTACCTTGAATGGTCCCTTACAATATGTTAGGAGTGGCCAAATTTACAGACCCTCCGAGCCGCATACAATAATCTTCAGAAGTTCAAGAGCTGCAAGACATGCACAACCTGCCCCCCAGGGCAGTGCCTACCAGGGTGCCGGGCTTCTTCTCCGATGTTCCCCCGCTGGGCTAAAGCCCTTAGATTCCCCACCTTGCTTGCAGGGCAGAAAACCCTAGTCCCACCACAGGACAGAAGCCTCTAGCTTCCCCCTGCCCAGTGTTGTAGGTGGAGAATGGGGGGGAGGGTACGTGAGGTGCTCCTGGAGCTGCACTTTAACAGTAAAAGAGCCACATGCAGCTCAGGAGCCACAGTTTGGCCATGCCTGTAATATGTGCTAAGTACTTATGCTAAACAATCTGTTGCACCTTGCACTGCTATGAAATGGACATACCTTTTCCCGACTTGAAGAAGAGCTCTGTGTGGCTTGAAAGCCTCTCTTTCACCAACAGAAGTTGGTCCAATAAAAGATATTACCTCATCCATAATATATTTGTAAGAGCTTGTCAATATTTTGTCATGGACTCATTGTGGTTCTCTAAAGGAAAACTAAATGTAATGTTCTCATTAATACATTTCACTATAAGGAATACAGTACTAAATTTTAAAAGGCCTTCTAAATAGTTTAAAAAAAACCCCGGAGGAATCTGCTTGCTTCACAGTTTGGTGTGGACTAGAATATGGGGAACTTCTTTCCCATGTTTGTGAACTAAATTTAAAAAACAATAGAATTTTTGGTTAATTTAACAGTTTTGCTTAAAACAAATCAGGCTGTAGCATCTGCAGGGAAGTATCAGTGTAATAGCTCTGATACACTCAATTATGGACTTAGTTAATATATAACATGTCTCTTAGTATATTTTGCTACAGGGGTTCTCAACCTTTTTCTTTCTGAGGGCCCCTTCCCCAACGTACTATTAAAAACTCCACGGCCTACCTGTGCCAC